TTTTTTAAAAAAAAAAAAAAAAAAAAACCATAAACGAGAGGCATATTTTAAAACTTCAAGCATGCAAAGTATCGTCGAAGAAAACAGTCTTAAAAGTCTATGCATTTGAGATCTCGAAAACATGTGGCGTGAAAAATATAAAAGCGAAAGATACCTCAAAAGGGTTTCGATAATTTTCTACTTTACGAACATATATGAAATAACACTGAGATATTGGCGCGGCTCAATCAGATTCAGCTAAGCTTTAAACTCACGACATGCACAAGTAGCTAGTGCATGTCGTGCAGCTGGTAAACAGGTACTGATCTGAGTGAACCGGGTCAATATCAGAGCGGCTATTTCAAGCTAAACAAACACACAACTCCATCTCCTCCACAAAAGGGGTTACTCAAAGAAGAAGAAGAAAGAAGGAAGGGAGGTGTAAGATGGCATGAAGAAGAAAGAGAAGAGGGGTTTGTTTGTGGGAGTGGGGAATGTCTGAGAAAGATTGAATTTAAGAAAGAGTGGTGGGAGGGGAAGGTGGAGGCCGGCAGGCATTAAAGACAATGCGCTACCAATACCCTCCCACAGGACCAATGCATTCAATGAGCTGCACAAGCTTCAACCTCATGGATATATATATTCCCACTCCTTTTCTTCAAAAAAATTCAAACTTTTTTTTAAAAAATAAGTAATTGATCCAAAAACCCTAACAAATTCAATGTCTTTTTGTGTTTTTCGTTTATTTTTAGGCCTATTTTCAATCAAATGGGCATACATTATTAACTTTTTTTTTTAATGGGGCAATCGTTTTCGTCCTCAGTAATGCCTATCTCCTCAACTGCCCGAATGTCTTTGTTAGACGAAGAATGAGGAAGAGAGTGGGGAGAGATTTCTCTTTGTTAGCAAAATTTGGTCGAAAACAAAAGTTATATTCTCCACCCCTGTTCCCGCTCAAATCTCCGACTCGTCCCACACCGTTGAGAATATAACATTTAGTTAAAGCTTAGGTCAATTAATAGGACACGGTCGAGTAGGTTAAGTAGTTAGATAATAGTACTTTTCTTTATGAATTGGAGGTTCAATCATATCCGTCCTCTTCCATTTTTATTAATGATATTTTAAGAAATTAAATATCATAAAATAAAAAAAAATAAAGAAAATAAAGAATTTGGTCGTCTTCTTAATGGCTACTCGCGGAATCTCTTCTGAGTTCACTGCTCGAAGCACCAAAGGGGAGTTGGTTTCTTACCCTTTTTCTTTTTCATCATTAATTCTTTATTTATTATTTTTCAGTCAAATTTGTTCCTATTGGTTGTTTCCTCATAAATATACACATTAATTTCGATTTTATTTTATTTTATTTTAAAATTTTAAAAATGTAGAATTATAAAATTAATATTTTAAGATATAAATTCAATTTCTTTTTGTCAATTTAAAATATTGTATCGTGTTGAAAGATCATGGTAGATGGTATTTTTGTGTGGATTTTGCTCGTTGTTTCTGCTTCCTACAAAAAACTCCACCCGCCTTCGCCAGGAATGTTCAATTCTGTACAATTTCTTCAACCAATCAAGAACACAGTACCCACTTCTTCTTCGGCCATTTCACCCCATTCGTCATTGCGTAGCTGCAGAAGCGCTTGTTTCAGCGTTAGTGATCGCTGTAAAATCGTGCACTTCCATCTCAAGTTGCCGGGGAATTCATGCCCGAGTAATCAAATCTTTTCTTTATAGAGATGGATTCATTGGGGATCAGCTGGTCACTTGTTATAATAAATTGGGCTATGCTGAAGATGCACAGAAGGTGTTTGATGATATGCCTGATAGAGATTTGGTTTCTTGGAACTCACTGATTTGTGGGTTTTCCCGGTGCCTTCATGTAACTCTCAAAGCCTTTTGTACCATGAAGTTTGAAATGTCAGTTAAACCCAATGAGGTAACAATTCTATCGATGATATCGGCTTGCAACGGAGCTTTGGATGTAGGGAGGTATATTCATGGCTTTGCTATTAAAATTGGTGTTTCTTTGGAAGTTAAGGTCGTTAATTCTTTCATTAACATGTACGGAAAGTCTGGGGATTTAACATCTGCTTGTAGATTATTTGAGGCTATTCCATACCCGAATATAGTATCGTGGAATTCAATCATTGCTGCTCGAGTTACTAATGGCTGTGCAGGAGAAGGAGTTCATTGTTTTAATAAGATGAGAATGTTTGGAATGGAGCCGGATGAAGGAACTATCCTGGCTCTGCTTCAAGCTTGCGTGCACTTGGGTGTAGGAAAGTTGGCTGAAAGCATTCATGGGTTAATCTTCTGCTCTGGTCTAGGTGCACAAATCGCCATAGCCACTGCACTTTTAGATTTGTATGCGAAATTGGGAAGATTAAGTGCTTCATATGATGTCTTTGGGGAGGTGGGTTGTGCAGACAGAGTTGCTTGGACTGCCATGCTTGCAGGATATGCCGCACATGGGTTGGGTAGGGAGGCTATCAAGCTTTTCGAGAACATGGCTGAGAGAGGCTTGGAGCCTGATCATGTCACTTTTACTCATTTGCTTAGCGCATGTAGTCATTCAGGGCTAGTCAGAGAGGGGAAACGTTACTTCAATTTGATGTCTGAGGTATATGGAATTGAGCCCAGGATAGATCATTATTCATGTATGGTTGATCTACTCGGTCGCTGTGGTCTTTTGAATGATGCTTATGAGGTGATACGAAGCATGCCTATGGAGCCCAATGCTGGCGTGTGGGGTGCCCTTCTTGGTGCTTGTAGGGTCTATGGTAACATAGAACTTGGTAAGGAAGTTGCAGAGCATTTGATTCATCTGGAGCCTCTGGACCCCAGAAATTACATCATGTTATCAAATATGTATGCAGCAGCTTGTTCTTGGAAGGATGCTGCCAAAGTGAGGGCCTTGCTAAAGGAGAGAGGCCTGAAAAGAACCCCTGGATGGAGCTCCATTGAATATGGAAACAAGATCCACCAGTTCTTCGTGGGCGATCGATCTCACCCCGAGACGGAGAAGATCTATTCCAAGCTTGAAGAATTGCTTGGAAAGATAAGGAAAACTGGATATAGTTCCAAAACAGAATATGTTCTGCAAGACGTTGAAGAGGAAATCAAGGAGGATATGATAAACAAGCACAGCGAGAAGTTAGCCATTGCTTTTGGGCTTTTGGTGAGTAAAGAAGGAGACCCTTTAATCATTACAAAGAATCTTAGAATTTGTGGAGATTGTCATAGCACTGCAAAGCTCATATCATTGATTGAGAAGCGTACCATTATCATCCGAGATCCAAAACGCTTTCACCATTTCTCTAATGGATTCTGTTCTTGTTCAGATTACTGGTAAGTTTTTAGGGTTCTTCATAATAGATATCCGTAGTTATCAATAACTTCATTATTTGTTGAGCTTGTGCTGAATTAGTCCGGGTTTTGGTCTACTGTATAATAGCTTGATTTGTTCTTTGGGTCGTAAAAAAATAAGTACGATCAATACGTTGAAGGAAAGTCAACTTGTATCCATGCCCTTTATATTGGCTTCGAGTTTGCTCCTAGAAATATAGCCATCCCCACCTCCTCACGTCAATTCCCAACCTGATACGAGCACGTTGAACTTTTTAGCGAGAAACGAGAAAATCGAGAGGAGTGTTAGAAGTGACAACAGAAAGAAGACCTTTTGAAAATGATGTGCTGCTTTGGATTACAAAACCCAAAAATAGCAAGTTTAAATACGAATACGGATTAGAGCGTGTGAGAGATGATTCTGTGACAGGTGTGTATTCCTCTCAAATGTTTTCCTTTCCTTTTGTGTTAACTTTATATGTATATGACAATTCGGCAAAATCATGTTTATTCTATCATACATGATTTATCTCAAAATGTATGGTAGAGGAGACAAAATAGTTATTAATTCACATCCAGAAGGCTTTCTTTCAAATTATTTTCAACTAATTTTATCACACACTTTATAAAACATTTTCTCCCAAAACATGATTCGAGTCTTGACCATACGTCAAAATTGTTCACGAAATATGATTTTTACGTGGTCGACTTGTTTGCTGGTTATAACAAGTATCGCGAGACCGATATCTCATTGCTAAAAAAGTTTTATTGTGACACTTGACCTCTTAACTTAATTTAGTACTATGTTGAACTCTAGTGAAATTACAAACCTTTGTGAAGGAGTGACTTCTATCTTTTACATGGAAGCACGTGTGGGAGACTCGATTCGTTCCTAGTAGACAATAGATTACGTACCGACTTTATTCCTACGGTTAGAGCGGTCTATTGGGTGAGCTCATCCCTTAGTGTTCACAATTGAAGGCGTGAACACATGTTCTTCGGTGATTAGGCCACACGACAAGCCTTGATTTATCCTTATTTATCTGAAAACAACTATGATATATTGGATATGACAAAGCTCTGTTTCTATCTAATACATAAATTCCATCTCACCTCTTAACAAAACAACCGGCAAGAAAGTTAAGACCAACATTTACCGACCGCCCCTACGGCCCTTAAGAATTATACACACGGCTGGGAGGATAAACATCCAAGGCTGGGCAGAGCCCCTGTCTTGTCGGATAAACCCCCCCACCGAACCCACTCGAATCCAATCCGACCCATCAAAACGAACATGCTTTCGAATATTCCTCTGCCATTTCCCCATTTTAAACCCCGAAACCCATAATTCTTCAACCTGTCTTTTTTCATCATGAACTACTCGGTTTCTTCTTCTCTCTCCGACCAACTTCACCTCCTTGGAAAAGCCGAGGTTTTTAAACTCCATGGTCGTGATAGAGCTGGCCGCAATGTCTTCCTCATTGTTGGAAAACACTTTCCAGGTACCGACTTTCAAAACAGAGTGTGAGTGTGAGTGTGTTCTGTTTTACTTATGGTGATTGCTGTTTTGGTTTCAGCTCGGTTCGTGAGCACCCAGGCTGTGAATCTCTATCTGAAGGATAAGATTTTCCCCTTCGTCAAAGATGGGCCCTTCACGTTGGTGTACATTCACACAGATGTTCACTGGACAGAGAATTTCCCTGGAATCTCCAATCTCAAGGCAATCTATGAGTTCATTCCAACAAACATTAAGAACAACCTTAAAGCTGTTTATTTTGTCCACCCCGGTTTGCAGGCTCGTCTGTTCTTCGCCACTGTCGGCCGCCTAATTCTGGGCGCCGAGTAAGCATTCTTCCTCCCCTGAATTTGAACTTCCCATTGCTCAAAAAGCCAAAAAGACCATATCTTTATGGTGGGATTCTTTATTTGTTGACTTGCAGGCTGTATAACAAAGTGAAATATGTGAAAAGAGTGGAGTTTCTATGGGAGTATGTTAGAAGGAAAGAGATAGAGTTACCGGAGTTTGTGTATGATCATGATGAGAAATTGGAGTTCTGTCCTGTGATGGACTCTGGCTTGGAAAGTGATTATCTCAGGCTCTTCTCCGCCTCGCCGTCTGTGGATTCTGCGGTTTCTACGTACTCCTCCATGAGGTGTTTTGCTTGATGGTGAAGACTCAATGATGGAGTTGGGATACATGGGTCTTTTTGGGTTTTGTTGTAGGAGTTCTTTTGGTAGTATTGGTAGTAAATATTGTGAGTAGGGACTTTCCGTAGGCAAAGTTAAAAGGTTTATGAGCTTTCCTTATAAAGAAACAAATATAAAGGCAGATGATTCTTCTGAACTCAGCTCCATTAGTTTCTCGCCTGCATATGCTCCCAATTCATAATTACGATAGCTTCAACAGGCTACTAACATGATACGCCATAAATACATACAGTGGTCGATTGTAGCAGATTCTATGAACTCTTTGGCTTCCTGTAGTTTGGAGCCTTTCATTCAAGGTCTCATGTTACAAGAGTGGATTTGGTTTGCTCGATCATTCATAAGACTTTGTTCCTTTGCTATCTTAGACCAACCTAAAAAGCATTGGTCCATTCCTTGTTGTTCAATGGGGAGTAATTCCTCTCTTCTTTCTCTTGGTTGAGGTGGTTGGTGGGTCTTGAGTTTGGTGTTTTCAAGGACAGACACAATTCATGGATGTTTCATTACTTACCGATGCATTAGGAGAAGTCGACCATGCATTGACAGTATTAGAATGGGAGGATTGGATAGAAGAGATTTCTTCACTTTGTGAAATGTCGTTCGGCAATCCTCCTTCCCCGTGAACCACGCAAGCATAATGCTCGACTCTTGGAACAATGCCAAACTTACCAAGCAATCCCATGTGGCTGCACGCCAAGAACATACACAAAAGAAAAACACTCTGGTTTTGTGGTTCCTTGCCGCATCTCTTCAAAGAGTTCAAGAGCTTTAAAACCTCCTTCACTTTGAGAAAGACTAGATATCATTGCATTCGATGACAATATCTCGAGTAGCTATGGAACCTAAGTACACCGCTAACAAATATTGTTTTTTTTTTAGTTTTCCCTTTCGAGCTTACTCTCAAGATTTTTAAAATGTCTGCTCATGATAGGTTTCCACACTCTTAGAATATTTCGATATCCTCTCCAACCGATGTTGTTTCTCACAGGAACCGTCTAAGCACACATGTATAGATAAACTCATTATGGAACCCCTCCTCACAAGGCATCAATAAAATCAGCTCCCAAGTCTCTAAATCCATCCTTTGCACCGCATACCCCAAAATCATAGTAGCCCAAGCAATAGGTCGAACACCTTATAAGCATCCAGCAGACACCCAATTTTGTAATACATATTAAGAAGCGAACTGCCAACAAAAACATCATAAAAGCCAGAAATCTTGATCGCAAGGGCATGGGACTGTATCCCACCTACCGTTTCGAGTGAACTTTGAAGAAGCTGTGAAAATCCTAGCAGAAGTGTGCGCATTCGGCAGTGTTCTCCGCGGCAAGTCCATGATACGGCGCCTTTGCTTCTCATACGCTCGAAGAAGAGCTTGGGTTTCACAACGCCTCTGCATTCGAACCTGTAGAGAACGAACCTGTAGCAGCGATGCTGACGAAGAAGAGTAGGAAGATTCAACAACTCTGATTCGATTCAAATGAGGCGCCATATGATAATGGGCTGGGCCACTTTTGGTTCATTCTGCTTTAGGCCCACATACAGTTATTGGGTCATTCATTCTACTTTTAGCTCACACAATTATTGAGCCGTTCATTCTACTTCTAGCCCAAATACAATTATTAGGCCATTCATTATACTCTTAGCCCACATCAATTTATTGGGCCGTTCATTCTACTCTTAGCCCACATAAAATATTAGGCCGTTCATTCTACTTTTAGCCCACATACAATTATTGGGCCGTTCATTTACTATTAGCCCACATACCATTATTGGGCCGTTCATTCTACTCTTAGCCCACCTACAACTATTACCCATTCATACTACTTTTAGCCCACGTACAATTATTGGGCCGTTCAGTCTACTCTTAGCCCACATAAAATATTAGGCCGTTCATTCTACTTTTAGCCCACATACAATTATTGGGCCGTTCATTTACTATTAGCCCACATACCATTATTGAGCCGTTCATTCTACTCTTAGCCCACCTACAACTATTACCCATTCATACTACTTTTAGCCCACGTACAATTATTGGGCCGTTCAGTCTACTCTTAGCCCACATAAAATATTGGGCCGTTCATTTTACTCAGCCTACATACACTTATTGGACCGTTCAATCTACTTTAGCCCACATACAATGATTGGGCCGTTCATTCTTCTTTTAGCCCACATACCATTATTGGGCCGTTCATTTTACTCAGCCCACATACCACTATTGGGCCGTTCATTCTACTCTTAGCCCACATACAACTATTAAAATTTTGTAAAATTAACGGATTTACTAAATGCAAAATTAATTTTTTTTTTCTATTAAACATAAAATTTAAATGGGATGATTTTTTTTAGAAATTTTAAAAGTTGATCAACTAATTTAAAAAATGACTAATTTTTTTTATTAAATGTTTTATTTTCCTAATTATTATGACATGACACTCTCTTCTTTTCCTAATAATTCTACCCACGTTTTGATTAATAATTGCCAATAATTAGTTTTTCTTCTTTTTACTATTGATTTTTTGAAAAAATAAAAATGATGAATAGTAAAAAAAAAAACTATTTAATAATTGACAATTCTCGGTGTCTTCACCCGGTCTTGATTAGTAAAGAACTCGATCAACTAAACTCAATTCAAACGATAGAGGCAAACCCTATTTTTCGGCTAAAAATTCTATAAATTTAAAAAATCAAAGGAAAAAAAAAATTGTCCATTTGGGTTGAGTTTGCATTGAAAAAATTTATATGATATAATTTATTTTTGTATAAACTAATTATCATTCTGTTTAGCTCCCCTAATTTTTGGAGATGTTGATTACTATATCTTTGACTTTGTGTTGGAGTGTTCTTAGAGTGTGCTAAGCTGAGCCCATGTCCCAACACACTTTGGTTATTAGTTTATTGATTGAGCTATGGATATATATATACATATATATATATATATATATTATAAGGAACACTCCACACTTTGTCCCTTTTCTCTCAAACCTTTTTCTCTAAAGACTCAAATCTGTTATAGGTCATACCCACATCTCTCTATCTATTCACTTTCAGCCATGTGGAATTCATCAAAGACTAACAAAACACATACTTTTTAAAAACTTAAAGTGGCAGACAATGCATAATTCTTAGCTACTAGTGCCTAAGTACACATTTTTCCTACAAAATTCAACTCATTGTTCTACACCATATTGGGTTTTGAGGGTAGCTTTAAGAATTCGAAAACAAAATCGAACCCCTAATGTTTAATTGGTTGAGCTATAAATTATTGATCACTCGGAAGGGAAAGGTAAAAAAGAATCATATCTACTAGTGGTGGGTTTGGACTGTTACAAATGATATCAGATCCAAGCACTGAATGATGTGGCAACACGACGCTGGCCCCCAAGGGGGTGGACTATGAAATCCCACATTGGTCGGAGAGGGGAACCAAACATTCCTTATAAGCGTGTGGAAACCTCTCACTAGTAGACGCATTCTATAACCGTGAGGTTAACGGTAATACGTAACAGGTCAAAGCAAACAATATCTCACATAGAAGTTTGAATCCATGACACTCGAGTAAAACAGAGGTACATAAATAAACCGAGACAACATCTGAATAAGAATAATTTGAAAGTTACTATCCTACCTATACTAACAAGACGCACCTTCATTCCAGTGACTCAATCATAATTTTCTTTTTTCAAGAAAACGAGTGAGAGCAAAATACATTGAAAGAATTCGAGTTAGCCTGTAGAGATAGTCTTCATTCTTATAAGCAACAAACAAGTCGAATATGGATTCCAAACCCTAATCTAAATTCTGAACATGAAACGTTACACAACCCTAATCTCTTCCCACACAAAATATTTTTATTTTGTAAAAGATTTGAAAAATGAGAGTGGGAGAGAGCAAGTCACATGGCATTAGAAAGTGGAGAAGACATAATCTCTATCTCACATCTATCACAATCATAAAACCCATCGCATACAAATCTCTAATCTTTAATTATAATATATGCTTTTAATGTGAACAAATAGCATATTATATATATATATATATATATATTGGTTTCCTCGCGTGACATCAATAATTTAGAGTTTGGTTAGTAATTCTAAAACTCCAATCATTATATATTCTCTTTATCTTCACCTAAAGTTGTTCCTCCAAACAAGTTAATATGTTGCTTTCTGTCTCTTTCTGAGATTAAAAAAAAACATAAGTTGTTGTGTTTTTTTTTTATCCATGGCTGCAGCTGGTTGTTGTCTCCTCCAAAGTGAGCTACAACTTAGGCGCATGGCGATTCCCCCATTTGATGTTCAAACTTTGAGAACCAAAAATGGGTTGCCTTTATTGCCTATCAAAATGGCCTTTTAAAGACCCAACAAAGATAAAAGCTTTGTAGTTCATGATTCTGCCCATCTCACTTGCACCAACCACCATGATAATTCATATCAATTATTATGTGTTCTTCTTTTTTCTCTCTTTAAATCTCTTGTGAAAGGGTCAGAATGAATCCATATATACATATGGACCACAACATTATGCACCTCACAATCATTATCAATGGTGGGTTCCCATGCATTGAGCTGCGCGATACCCAAAACGCTATTGCCTCACTCGAGTCCACGTTGGTTGGGAGGAGAACCAAGCATTCTTTATGAACGTGTGGAAGCCTCTCCCTAGTACATGCGTTTTAAAAACTTTGAGGAAAAACTCGAAAGAAAGAGGCCAAAGAGTATGTCTAAACAATACCATCCTTTATAATCTAGAGCTTTCGAGTCTTGTTATAACATAGTTTAACTCGGTATTAGTATTAAAAATCTTGTGTTAGTTGGGTTTTTGTGCTAATTTCCTAATTCATTATGGAATTTAAGCTTTTAGGCACTGAAGCCCACCAATAACAGATCGACGTGGGATCTCACAGGTTCAAACCAAGAGATCTTGTGTTCAAACCCCTTGACTAACTAATATTGATAGTCGACATTAGGTTTGATATGCTCGGATTAATATCGACTCGGGCTTTGTGCAGGTAATGACAAACATGAAACTTTTGGGTAAGTAGATGTTCAAAGGTGTGGCATAGTGGTTGGAAGTAGAAAAAAGAGTGTTCCCCACCATCGCACCATCAAAGCTCATGCCTTTTTCTAAAAGGAAAGAACGAAGGTCGAAGGAGTAAAATAAAGGTGGCCAATTTGGAGTCTCTCACACAGCCAAAGAGGAACAAAAAGCATTAACCTTTTCTCCATTTCTCACAGTTTATGCCACAAACTCTATAAACACACAAGCCAAAATAAAGTTGATTACTTTTTATCCTCTTTACCGTGTTTCGGTCGTTGAAATTTGAATATCTCGACAGTAATTATTTTGAGTAAATGTTCGATGTTTGGAGAGAAACTACCAAAATATCTCTATTTTATATTTTAAGGTTATTAGTAAAATTAGGTCTGTCTCCTATTGAATAAGTCTTTCTGGATAGTGTAAACTTCATTAACTTGAAATTTTAGTACTCGAAAATGTTACCGAAAATGGCTAGATATTTTTTAAATAAGAAAAAGTAAAAAGTTTGAATTTTAAATAATAATAATGATTAGAGTAACTAAACCCTAAAGTGAATCATGGGTTTTAGTGGAATTAACACTAATGACTATGAGAATGGCTACACCTTTTTACCCCTTTTTTTTACCTTTTTCTCTTTAATCTTAGATGTTTTGTTTGGTAAAAGGGTATTTGAATTTTGAAATCAAAACCAAAGCTTTCTTTTCAAATCTAAATGCTGAGAACGAACAATAATAAGAAGAAGAACAAGAAGAGAAGTTTCAAAAAATAGAAGTAAATTGAAAGGGTCGGTAGAAAGGAAAATGATAATCGATGTCTTACTCATTGAATATAATGATCGAATTCACGAACCCATAACATTTTTACAAAGAATCGAATTATCGATCGATAATTTAGAATGATAATCGATGTTTTACCCGTTTTTGGGATCGAATTGAGGAACCCGTTTCGGTTTTCAGTTTCCAATGATTTTAATGATGACCAAAGTGGGGGGAGTTATGGAGGTTGAGCAGTGCAGTCTGGTTGGTTGCTAGCTGGTATGTACCTTAAAAGAGAATAATGGAAATAAGTCCAAATCATGCTCTCTCCTCTCTCCCACATCGGATTTCATTTCATACCATATTGGTTCTTCTTTGTTCATTATTAAAATGGCAGAAACATTCATTGGGTTTGGTTATGGTGTGAGGAGGTAGGTTTAACACCATTAATATACTCATTCTCCACCACATCTCATGCTTTTTGTTTAATCTTTTTATGCCCTAAATTTTGCCTTCCTCTTCATGCATTTCAAAACCACACAAATCTATGCAAAAAGTGTAACGTTGTGGGAGTTACTTCTTTTATTAGAGGCAATTATAGTGCGAGAGGGGCTTTATAAAGAAGCGTGGGCTTTTGTGGGTGTCATGAGTGCTACTCGTCGAGAAGCCACCATTGTTCATCTCTCACCCTAAATGGAGGAGAACGAAACATTGTTTATAAGAGTGTTGAAAACTTCTCTCTAGCATACGCGTTTTAAAAAACTTTAAGACAATATCAATTCGTGGTAGGCTCGGGCTATTACAAATGATATAAAAGCTAGACACTAAATGATGTTCTAGCGAGGAGATTGAGTCTCGAAGGGGGTGGATATGAGGCGGTGTGTCAGCAAGGACACTGGGCCCCGAAGGGAGTGGAGTGAGGGGTCCCACATCGATTGGAGAAGGGAACGAGTGCAAGCGAAGACGCTGGGCTCTGAAGAGAGTGGATTGTGAGATCCCACTTCGATTGGGGAGGAGAACTAAACATTGTTTATAAAAGTGTGAAAACGTCTCCCTAACGTATATGTTTTAAAAACCCTAAACCCTAAATACCCGAACATTCATGGGGCGGTTTAAAAGGCACTCATTCAATATTATTAGGGTTTGAAACCCCTTTTGATTAATGGCATTTGAATTGGGGTTTTGACAAAATGGGTAAGTTTGTAAGTCAAAAGGGTAAATGTGGGAACTTTTTTGTTCCATCTCCACTAGAAAGTGCATAGGGGATTTCCTAGGATTCCATAGTTAATGGTGAAAACTGAGGTGGACCCATCAACGAGGGGTGTGTTCCAAAAGTGAGTGTAGGCCACTAAACCCCTTTGTATTGACCATTGGTAAAATATATAACAACTCATCAACTCAAATGTCAATATGCCTTTCCTTTTCCTTTTCTTTATATATTCTCTGTCTTTATCACAATTCTATGGTCAATTCCTCAATCAGGGCTTCAACTACCGTTCATATTTGTGATCACAAGGTTGGGGACACAGAATTTAGTAAAGTTTAAGGATTCGTGGATGTTAATGTAACATTGATTAACAAAGGTGTTAATTAAGTGTGTTGTGTTCCTAAGTAAACAACGTTGGACATCTCATTGCAAATATGTTACGGGGGCCGTGAGAATCATTGTCGTTAGTACTAGAGATTGTTTGACGTATTTGTTTCATCATTAATGGTTCAAGTTGTTTGGTTATGATTTGTGATCATTGAGCGATAAATATGGAATTCCTTGCAACATGACACGTTATCTACTTGTTGTCTTAGGAAGTCATCCATCATAGAATTGTTCTAAGCTAAGCACGTTTAACTTGGATTCTTAGTATCACTTTTATTCAAATGTGGTCTCGATTCATTCATACATCTCTCATTTATTTGAGTCACATTGACTACCGATGTAAATCAACATCGACATCGATTAACAAATTCTTTATCCTTTTGACCTTAACGTTTGATAAAATAAATATATAAAGGGTATTAGTTGAAAATGAAAAGTGGGTTAAATAAAGGCATGAGTGCTATATGGGTTGGTTCCTACTTGGTCCTATATTTTAATGTTTTATGCACATTTTACGTTTAAAATTACTATTTTAATCCATATAATTTAACTTTGATACCAACCAAGATTTAAGGCTTCTAGTCTGGCGTACAATAGCTAGCAAATGCACTCGTATTTTGTTTAGCACCGTATGCATCATCACGAGACCTTTTATAGTTCGATAAATTAGATCGGTAACAAAAATGGTTATATATATATATATATTTTTTTTTCATAAAGATAAGAATAATAAAAAATAAAAAGTTATTAAAAAAAGTGACGAAATTGAGTGGTGAGTTAGAAGAGTGGAATCCTCCATGGTTTGCTGCCCAAATGGTTGACAAAGTCTATTCCAAATGTCAAACAAGCTCTTTGTCAATTTCCATGGTTGGACTTGTTATAATATAATATTTACGCGAGAGGGCTAAGTCTACTACTAACATATATTGTATTATTTAAGTTTTCTCTTCTGATTTCTCCTCAAGATTTTAAAACACGTCTGATAGTAAAAGGTTTCCACACTCTTCTAAGGAAGATTTCGTTCCCCTCTCCAACTAATGCGATATCTCACAATCCAACTTCTTAGGAGCCCAACATCCTCACTAGTACACAGTCCGTTGGATGACTCTGATATCATTTATAACCGTCCAAAGTCCCTCACTAAATATTGTTCTCTTTAGATTTTCACTTTAAAGTTTTAAAAAGAGTATTAGTAGGGAGAGATTTACACACCTTTCTAAGAAATATTTCGTTCATCTTTCGGATCAATGTAGTATTTTACATTTAGTTCCTATATTTTCTATAAATTTAATTAACATTATCTTCATAAATTTTCAAAATGTGTTCAAGTTACATCTTTTGACAAGGCATGGCCACCACAAGGCAACATAGCTACATAGTTCGATGCAAGATTTTAGTTATACTATCAATCCAACGAATAAACAAACGGGTCATAACAGATTCAAAACTCAATACTTAAATGATCAAATATTAGCATTAAAAAGTTCGATAGCTCGATCTCTCACTCAACAAAGCCAGTCAATGAGAGGCAATGGCTTAACCATGAAGACAATGTCATACCTCAAAACTGGTACACGCAAGCAAACACATAGGTACACACAAACAGCCCTAAACGCATACGTTTTAGGTTTGAAACCGATGTTTCTCAAAATCTGTCATCTTTTTGTGTTGATATTATGATATGTATTGGCATCAAAACCGAGGGAAAGGCCAAGAAATGAGCCCACTCCATCCCTTCTCACTCACTGCGCTCTCAGAAAAGACAGATTACAAAAAAGAAAGAAAAAAAGCATTAGTTGTTCATCAAGAACGAGGAAAGTAAGGGGAGGAATAACTATGATGATCCTTTCTGTGATGCTTCTAAATATCAACCCTTAACCAAACTTCTCTCTCCTCATTTACTCCTCTCTCTCTCTCTCTCCTCCTCCTTAAATTCTCTCCTTTTCTTTGCTCTATTTCATGGCTGCGTTTCAAGGAAGAAGACGACGAAGAAGATGAGGCTCTTTCATGGGGGTTTCTCAAAGGGTTTCCAACAGAATTTATTGGCATTCTGTCCACCTCAAATACCCAAAACAAGGTTTATCAACAAAAACCTTAAAAATCACGAAAGCCCTTTGCTTTGTGTGTTGTGTTGTGTTGTTTGGTTTGTTCTTTCAACTTGGAGGTGGGCATACTGCCAATTGAGCTCTGTTTGGCTCCTCTTTGTAACACCCTCTTGATCCCTACATCCCTTCATCATCATGTTGTACGAGGTTGTTTTAAATTTTGAAAAAACATGTTTTGATGGATTTTTAGCTTCATGAATCTGAAATTTCACATAAAGTTTCGATTTTTGTGATGAATTTTTTGTGGGTTTTGTTTGTTTCATCTAATCATGAGGTTTTATTAAATGGGTTATCTTCATTTTCAATCAAATGCATCTTTTTTCATGAATCTAGGGTTTTCTATGAATTTTGAAAAACATGTTTTGTTGGATGTTTTAGCTTCATGAATCTAAAATTTCTCAGAAAGTTTCAATTTTTGTGGGTTTTGTTTGTTTCATCAAATCATGCGTTTTCATGAAATGGGTCATCTTCATTTTCAATCAAGTGGATGTTCTTCATGAATCTAGGGTTTTCTAAATAGCCATTTAGGGTTTATTTGATTATTTTTCAATTTTTTTTTAATGTATTTTTACAGCCGCAGTCATTGAGTTACCTACGTGGGCTCATGATTAAAGCCTGACAAAACCCATTAAATATTTTTCTTAAAAGACGATTGCTCATGTTCATGGCCTCCAAAAAGAGAGCATAATGTAATCTTAGTAATATCTTATTAGCAGGTTTCTGATGTAGCCGGACGGCGGTGGCGAGTTTCTGTTTTTCCCGACGACCAAGTGTGGTGGCGGCGGTGGTGACGGCGGCGGTGCAGTTATGCCACCCTTCTGCTACTGTCCCTATTAAAACCTCCACGTTAATTTAGTATTGAATTCCATGAAATCCAAGAGTTTAAGTGAATGAATGTATTAGATTTGTTGTTTGTTACAGGTTGAACCGTGTGGATATTGGGAGGTGGATCAAGAACACGAAAATGGGTGAGTAAATTTGATGTTTTTTTAAAGAATTTGTTGTGGGTTTGTTTGTTCTTCGTGGATCTTCTTTTATGTGGTAAAAGTTAATTATGACGATCTGTTCAATATTTCATGAAATTATTTGGGGGAAAATAGTGAGATGGCGTGCGAATTCTTGTCCCCAAAGTGATGGCCCAGCTAGCTAAGGTGGTTTTTCTTGGGAGTGTTGGTGGGTAATGGAAAGCCTTTTATTTTCTAATTTTAATCTTTCAAAAAAAATAAACAAAGAAATTCATGTGTTTATGAGCTTAATTTACTGTAAAACAAATAATAAAATGGTTATTAAACTTGAGTTTAGCGATTGTTTTTCTTCTCGCTTAGTTGCAATTTCTTTTCTAAAATCAAATTCACATCTGTTTGGATAATGACTTCTATGGAGTTTGTTAACATGTTCATGTAATTCCATGCAAACGTAGAGTAGATGACTTCTAATCTCCAAGATGGATATAATTTCGTAGTAGGAACTGATAAACATTCGAATCAAAGATTAATGTGGAGGAAATTTGTAAGATCTTACATCAGTTGAAGGTTCCTTGTATGTGTGTGGAAACTTCTTTAATAGATGCGTTTTATAATCATGAAGCTGATAGTGATATGTAATGGGTCAAAACGGATAATAATTGATAGCCATGAACTTAGGTTATGACAAATAGTATGAGAGTTAGACATTCCTTATATAGGTGTGGAAATCTCTTTAGTAGATGTGTTTTATAATCGTGAAACTGATACTGATATGTAATGGGTCAAAACGGATAATAATTGCTAGCCGTGGGCTTGGGTTATGACAAATAGTATTAAAGTCATACATCGGGCATTGTGCCAGTGAGGTACGATACATTCTTTATATAAACGTAAAAACCTCTTACTAATAGATGCGTTTTAAAACGGTAAAGATGACGACGATATGTAATGTGTAATGCGAACAAGCATCTACTAACAATAAATTTTGATTGTTACAGAATTTGTAGTATAGGTTCGGATAGGAAATGGGTTTGTAAATCTTTGTAAAACAAGGATTTTATTAAAATTGAGTGTATTTGTGTGGTGATTAGAGGTTTACTTACTTGGTTGAATTGAATTTCTTCACTTTGATACTCAAAGCACTCCATCGAATAGATGGATAAGTTGATAAGGGAGGCCAAGGTTAGGTTTGTAGTTGGATATCAAATTTGTATTTGTTTCCCTTCTTGTCCCACTCCTCGCTTCTGCACAAAATTTGGGAATCTTTATGGATTCTCTCTCTTTCCATTAAATCCACTTCCTCTTTCGTCTAATCAATCACTTCTGGAAAATTAACAACTCAAGAAACAACTGATTTAACATCTCCATAAAACAGATTCGGATTAGAAACTATTTTCAAGAGCAAAGAGTAGTGCAGATAAATCGTGGATCAAGATTAAACTAACTTGTATATCGTGTCCACGCTAATCTAGATCGTGTGTTCTATGTCCATGAATATCAAAATAAAACGAATGAGCAACCTGATATGGCCGAACGTTGAACGCATATGCTACAACCTTAAACCAATTAGGTATCGTGTAAAGGACACAAAGCTCATATACCATGTACACGAGTTCCTTGCTCTGTTTTTTCTTACCCGATGTTTAGCTCTTTTCTTTTAAGCTCCTCTTCTCCTTGGTGTGCTTTGTATGAGATTTAGGGCAATCTCTGAAATCGTATATCATGAACACGAGTTTGCTGCTAGCAAATACGACCATAAATTGAAGGGAAAAAATCGAGATAAACTCAAGCAAGTTTATAAATTCCATTCATTGCATTACCCACATACGTTTAAGATCTTTATTCTGCCAAGAAAAAAATGAAACATTTCAAAACAAAGAAGGATAATGTGATGTGGTTTGCTAGAGAACTTGGTCACCTCTTTCTTATCCTTTCAGGTGTTCTTAATATATGAATTACCCTAAAGCAGCAGAATGAGCAGAGGTCAACTTCTTCACTTCCAACATAATATATATGAAGGTACCTTTATAATAAATTTACAGTGACGAAGCTACATGATGGAGATCCACGTAGCCAGATAGCACAGCCCGGTTGCGCTCCTTTACCTTTGTCTGATAAAGGACCCTACATTGCATATGGGCAGTTCTGACATCAGTTTCTAGTCAATTTAGATCACTTCTAGAGGGTACCTGTAACTAAGTAAAAGCACTTTACAAATTCAACAAAATCTTTAGGCTTAAAAAGTATTTTGAAAATTTCGAAAAGCATTTCAATGTGCTTTCTGAAAATAAAAAAAAAAAAAACTTTAATGAGTGTTTTTTCAGAAGTGATTATAATTTTACTTTAAAAACAGTACTTCTTGAGTTATTTTATTCCATGTCTTCAAACATGACTTTAAAGTTGTAATCTTATACAAAGGAAAAGAAGTAAAATCATACCTCGACCCCTCAAGCCACATCTCCGTTACCAAAATTTCACCTGGGTACACATGCAAAAGAAACTTGCCTGATATGCATTTTACTTTGCTCGAGTCTCCTTTACACACGCATTTGATTACTGCCCGAACAGCAAATCCCAATGTACATAATCCATGTAGTATTGGCTTCGAGAACCTATAACATTGTGATTGAACAAATTTTTTGTCAATAAGCATTTGGACATCCAAGAGTTGGGGTCCATAGGTTAGAATGATAATCATTGCCCAGATACATATTGTGAGATCCCACATCGGTTGGTGAGGGAAAGGAAACATTCTTTATAAGGGTGTGGAAACCTCTGTCTAGTGGACACATTTTAAAACCTTGAGGGGAAGTTCAGAAAGAAAAGTCCAAAGAGGACAATATCTTCTCACGGTGGGCTTGAGCTCTTACATATATAAAAAACTAAATAACCTATATAACTCATTTATTTATAAATACTCCAACTGGTAATTAAAGATGGTTAGGATTGTTAAGGTGGCACCGGGTTTGAAGGGAATATGGAAGGATTGTTGCTTACCAAATTAGTTGATGCCATGGCTACTAGTTTAGGTTGTTCCTCAAGTGTTTTTACCTATTACAGGTTAGGGCACATTGTGGGGGCAATCAAGAGGGAAATATTTGGAAAAATAATTTAATAGAAAATTTGAAGAAATTGGAGAAATTGAAGCACCCCACTCTTTTAAAGGGATGACACTTAAACATTGGCCAACGCGGTACTCTATGATATCTCAACTTATTATACATCAAATATCAACCCTTCCGGTTCAAATGAAGCTATTATTGGCCTTACAAAAAGTTGGAGTTTGTCTGGGAAGTGGAAAAGTAAAGAATATTAGCTGGGGGCCGGTGTTGCTATCAAGTGACCTATAAGACTACCTTTAGCAATAAATGAAATCATAACTCCATTCCTAACATTATACATCAACTACTAAGTTTATGCAACATGAAATGCACAATCCGATTATAACTTGATTTTTTTATATAACCTTGGTGGATATGACACCTTTTGCCATGCCAAAATTGTGTAGCGAGCAATAGGGCATCCAAATATAAATATTATCAGTCCTCCATAGTCTAGGGGTGAGGATCTAGGCAGTTATATTCACGAGGTTTAATGAGATAAATGAACATAAAAAACTACGATGCAGACAACCAAAAACATAGGAAATAGGATCAAATAATAGCAGTAAACAAGATGTGAGCGAGGTACCAACCCTGCAATCTTCGCAACAATAGGATCGGAATGAAGAGGATTATAGTCACCTGATAACCTATACACTAATGCCTGCAGATTAAAATCACAAACAGAGTAAACTCAATTAACGCTACATCAAGATTAGTATGAGAACAATTCTAGTATTTGTATAGCAAAAATAAAAAAATTACAACCCATGAAAAACCTGTTAAGCAATGTTAACCTGCAAGGCTACAATACGTAAAATAGAAAAAGGAGGAAAATAAAGGCTACATATTTTAGAGGGTCTCTAGTCTTGGGAAATTTCTCAATTTGATTCTTGATCTTTTAAATTCATTAATTTAACACCTAACATGTTAAAAGTTCTCAATTCAGTGTTTTCGTTAAAAAAATGATAAGTTTTGTAAATAGAAAGTTAGTGTGCCGCTAAATATTTGTACATATTATGCAAGACATGAATTTTGATAATGGACATGTTGGATTTACTAACAAGCTAGTTGGAGTTTATGTGTCAAATTGCCAATTAACAATATGAGTAGCATCATGTCCACTCATCCGAACATGTCAATAAACTAATAATTTGATGATATAAAGTTTTTTTCTTGACAAATTTTAACAAATATATTTTAGAGGGACCTGATTGAGAAATTTAACATAGTAAGGGAAAAATTAAAATTTTGAAACAATAAAGCAAAGCAACAAATTGAGATACATCTAAACGATTAGGAACCATTAAATATATCTAGTCCAAAGCAAAAGAAATCAAACAAAAGTTTGTACTAGTGGTCATTGTCAACTTGCCTGAGATGGTCGAGTACAATCCTCAAACACCATAAAAGGCTGTGTTTTTGGAATTTTTCCTGCTGATCCTTGATTTTTTGGGTAGTTTGTGTAGGAGTAAGGGTGAGAAGAACTTGAGAATCCGCCAGCACCTCGCAGAAAGAGAGTTGTCCTGCCAAGTTTACCCAGTCATGGTCAATCCCTCCCATAACCACCTTATAAGCTATATTAAAATATAATAATTATAATAAGGCAATGAATAAAAGAAAGAAAAAATTGCTTACCGATTCATGCATAATAATTGTCCAGACCTTTTGTCATAACTTTTTGTCTCAATCTCAAGGATAGCTGCTTTTCCTGAAAATGATTATGAATATTTATTGACACTTCAAAGAAAAGGTTTAAAATTAATAGATTCGTTCTCTCATAAACCTCTTATATTGGACTTCATTTTTTTATAATTTTCATACAGATATAAGCATCAGAAATCAAATAATATCATATGAAAAAAAAAAATTGAATAATTAGTCGAACAAGTACAAACCTTTGTCATGCAGCCCAGCAAGAGAGATTTTGTTATCTAACTGCGCAAGTAAAACCCCATGAGATTAAATATATTTCAGCATGAAGGAATGCTAATACAAAACTGGATATGGAAATTACTAAAAGACAATCATTCATAGATCCAGTACGAATCCTTACATATCCCCTCGATGGCAGTGGCTTGTACAATTCAATGTATTGCTGACCATGAAGTAAGAGCTTTGGGTCATACCTGATGCCAGAGACAAAACAAGAAAGATAACAGAACAACTTTTACAAAAAGAAATGAAGATTACATTCGCATTGGCACACCAAAGAACCTTGCAAGCTTCTCAAATGTATGCATGAGTACTTACGACAGCCCTGGCAAGTTCAGACCCGTTCCCATAGTTTTGTGGATAAATAGAGCAGCAAATGTTGGCAAAACCTACAGAAAGAGAAACTACAAGTAAAAAATAGTAGACTAAGAGTCACAGACGTTTTCTGTGTATTAGAGTTATAAAAGTGCATTTCCTATAAAACCCTATCAACTGGTTTGTATGTTGGTATCTCAGCTTTATCTTGAGCGTGCAGGAAGGAAGTTGATGAAGAATCACATGGAATTATTTTAATTCCAAATTAAATGTTGTTTTAGGGAGAAGTGAGCCAAATATTAGAAAGATACATTAAAAGACAAAATAAACATAATCTGAAGGTAGGGATTCTGGTCTAGCAAAGGGGAAAGAACAAATTGATCAAGGGACGGGAGGAGAAGTAGGGGAGACAAGTGAGGCTCAGGCCTCCAAGGAAACAAGGCAATAAAGAAGGCAAAATTGTGTACATGGGAATGCAAAATAAGTGGGGGTATCTTTTTGTAGAGAACTGGAAGTAGAGAGAGCTATAAGAGAGCTTTGAGTGTCCCCCTAGTTACCCTCTTTTAAGACTTTGTGCTTGTTTCCTTTGAATGTATTAATATAATACTAGTTCCTAATGCTTTAACCAGTTCAATTGGCATGGTAATCGATAAGAGCCAATATAAATAATAAAGAGTTTAGAGGGAATGAGTTCAAGCAAAGAAGCATAGTCACAAACATGGGAGATGTACATGACGACACATCACTTTCTAAAATTTAAAACACAGACGTTTGGGATACTTTCAAATAGGCTAAAATATATATTCATCTTTAACAGTTGAAAAGCTCAAAGAATTTTATTCGCTATGGCTATGGTTAGAGATGGAAGATGTCTCCTACTGGTTTATATATAATCAATGTATATACACGATTAGATGAAAATATTTGAATTTAGAGGTCTTGCTACTTAGAGTTTTCTATTTAAAAGTTTATTCTTTTTCAATCTTTTTCAGAAAAATTTTCAAGCATATGTCCTAGCCTGTCCCAGCATGTTCAAGAGAAGAACAGAATAAAATATTCGAAACATTTTCTTGCGTGTCGGTCACATGTCCACACAAATTCATGTCCATGCTTCATAGAGTTCAAGTTTTGCTGACCCTACCAACGATTTGATAACCTATAAGTTTCAAATATGATAGAATTAAGAGGTTGTCCTATGAGAATAGTCGAGGTACGTGCTGGTTTGAACACTCATGAGAATCAGAAAAGAGAGAGAGAGAGAGAGGAGAGAGAGGTTCCTATCATTTCTGTACCAGAGTGATTGGGTTTTGGGTGCTAACAAAAAGAAAAGTGAAAGTGAGATTTGATGTATTGGAACAAAACAAAAAAAAAAAAAAAAAAAAAAAAAAAAAAAAAAAAAAAAAAAAAAAAAAAAAAAAAAAAAAAAAAAAAA